TAAAAATTGACTAAATGCACAAGAAGAAGTCCACCATGAGTATGAATCAGCAGGGGAAAAAAGCAACCTATTTAGATCCCCAATAACCTCAAGTTGTAGAATTATCAGATATAAAATACAAAATAACTCTAAATAAAATATTGAAAGAAGTAAACGATAAATTTAAAAAAGCAAGCATTTAAGAAGAAATTACTTTTTTAAAAAAGATTGGGCAACTTTTAAAAATAAAGTTTTCAGAATGAAAACAATCATTGAAACTAGAAAGTTTCTCAATGAGTAAACAGCTTAGATAGAGCTGAAGTGAGAATTAGGAAATTGGAAGATTGCCCTAAAGAAATTACACAGAGTCAAGCAGATAGAGGAAAAGCAATGCAATACATGAAAAAGAGATAAATAGACACAAAGAATAGAATAAGATCTCATAAAGTAATAATACAAAGAATGGAGGAAAGGAAACATTCAAAGACAAAATGTTTAGAAATTTCCCAGAACTGATGACAGACTTTTGGAAAGATACATGAAATATATCCATACCTACATATATTGTAGTAAAAGAACAAAAAAGTAATCAGATAGAAATCATTTGCAAAGTAATGATAATTAGTCTAAAAGTGGACTTCTCAATAGCAGCAATGGAAGCCAGGAGCAGTAGAATAATTTCTTCAAGAAATATAAAAGTAATTTCCTCAAGAAATTATTTCAAGAAAATAACCATCAACCCATTATTTTATGCCTAGCAAAATTTCTTCAAGATTGAGAGTGAATTAGATACATTGCAAGCATTTTAAGATAAACAAAATCTAAGAGAGAAACAATATACTTTCACAAGAAATTTCTAAAAGATATACTTCTGGAAGAAAAAAAATTACTCCAGAAGGAAAGTCTAAGAAGAAAAGTGAGCAGAAATTGATAAACATGTAGGTAAATCTAAATAAACTTTGACTTATAAAGTAATAGTTAAAATGTCTAATTTGGGAAATTAAATAAAATGATAGATCTTAAAGAGTAATAGCATGGAAGTCAGAAGGGGTGATCGGAAGCATATTGTTCTGTTACTCTTGTATTTTCAGAAGGGGGAGGGTGTAAATGGTTGATTAAATTTAGGCATTTTAAGTTAATGGACACCCAATAAAATATCAAGAATTAAATGTCATTGATCACGATATTTATGTATACGGATCAAACTTGCCAGTTAAAAAACAGAAATTTTAAGGCTAGACAAACAGAAAACTTCAACTACATGCTTTATATAAAAGACACTGTAAAATATAAAGACAGAAAATTATTGAAAGATATATCTGTCAAATAGCCCAAAGAGAAATGGAGGAGCTGTTAATATTATGAAAGATCTTTAAGATAAAAATTATTAGGAGGAAGTGATACTATCTTAAGGTTAGAGTTTCAAATCACCAATAAGATTTAACAATTAGATATATAATATGAACCTATCTTGAAAGACATAATGCAAAACAATCATAGTACAGAAAGAAACTGACAAATCCCCCTAATAATATGAGAATAAAACACATCTTTCTCAATTAATGATAGTTCAAGAAGAAAGAAATGTGTTAAAATATGGATATTTTTAACTATCAAATTTGTTTTAATGGATATTCATGTATCTCTATATAAAATAGAGAGAGAGAGGGAGTGAGAAAAAGAAAGAGATGTTCCATATTCTTCTCAAGAACACATGGTACATCTATCAAAATTGAATATATTAATCTATAAAGCAAAACTCATTTTATATATACAGCCATGCATCACTTAAGGACGGGGATATGTTCTGAGAAATGCATTGGTAGGCAATTTTGTCATTTGGTGAACAACATAGAATGTACTTACACAAACCTAGATGGTATAGCCTACCACACACCTAGGCTATATGGTACCAATCTTTTGGGACTACCATCACATGTGCAGTCTGTCATTGACCGAAACGTTATGCAGTGCATGACTGTATTTATCCTACATTCTCTGGCCACAATGCAATTAAATCAGAAACCATTATTTAAAGAGATAAATTTTTAACATCTTCTTACGAAAAATTTCTAACACATACAAGAGTAAATAAAATAGACATAGAATGCTCATGTGCCCTTCAGCTAGCTTCAACAGTTTTTCAACTCAGAGCCAATCGTTTCTTATCCATACACCCACTCCCATCTAAATTTTTCTAAAGCAAATTCACCCATAAATATTTCTCTGTAACTCTATAAAAGAAGGACTCTTTTTTTAACACAACCATAATACCATTATATATCTTTAAAAATAAATAAAATTTCCTCAAATATCCAGTCGATGTTCAAATTTCCCCAATTATCTCATGTTTTCTTAAGTTTCTTCAAGTCAGAATCCAAATAAGGATCATACATTGTATTTGATGGATACGCCTTTTAAATCCCGAGTAGATACGTTATTAAGACCCCATATGATTGAAATTTTAAAACCACACTTCCAAATAACTCACAGGTCATAGAAGAAATAATAATGGAATATTATAAATACTTGCAACTGAACAAAGAGTAAAACACCAACATAGCTAAACTTTGAAAGGCAATAATTTAGGAAAATTTTACACTTTGATGTTATCAGGCAAAGAAATGGTGAAAATTAATGATTTAAATATCCAACTTAAGAATTTGAGGGGTAGGTAATGATAGAATATATATAAAGAAAACAGAAGGATGAAATAAAGAATATATTACTGAAATCGAAAACTAAAATATAACACAGGATCAATGTGATGGGAAAAAGGTAGCCCCAATTCTTTGACACTCATCTCATTGATAGGACTCATCTCTATTTCCCCTCCCCTTGAATCTTTGCTCTGACTGCTCTGATCAAGAATATGACAGAAGTGATGCTTTCCAGTTGCAGGTCTAGACTTTAAGAGGACTTGCAATTTCTACTTCTTGTCTCTTGCAACATTCTGAGAGCCCCAAGCTAGAATGTAAGAAGTCTTAATACTCTGTTGGAGAGGCCATGTGGAAAGGCCCTGTGCTCATGGATAGAGGGAGAGCCCCAGCTGAGCTCAGCCCTCCAGTTTTCCTTGTCAAGGCCTGTAAGTCAAACTATCTTTGACTCTCCAGACCAGACCAGCTAATCGCCAGTGATATTTGCCAAGGGAAAAAAAAACAACACAAAACACTAAGAAAAAAAGGACTCAGCTATTAGACTTATTGTGGTGATCATTTTGTAATATATACAAATATCGAATCATTATGTTGTACACCTGATACTAACATAATGTTATATGTCAATTATACCCCAATTAAAGAAAGAGAAAAAAGGATGATACATCAGACTATATACAAGGGAGGTGACTGGATTAAAGCCACAAAGCAGGATTAGGGCCATCTGATGAGGTAGAACAAGTACTTGATTGCGGTATGCCTTCTCCCACCAGTTAACTTTAGGAAAGTTATTTAAATCTACCAGATTTTAGTTGGATTAAAAAAAAAAACCTGAAATTTTTTCTATACCTATGATTCCATGATGTGATTTTTAGAGGGCTTATACTTAGGAAATGGTGGAATTTAGGGCAAGGAACAGAGTAGAGTTCAGAAGGACACCAACCATGACTGGTTGTTCTCTTTGCTTAAGATGAAAAAAGAAAAAAGTGGAGACTAACTTGCCCTTTCTTTCACAAAACTTTACTATGTATGTTCAGAACCTTTTCATTTCAATAAAGTTAATCTGTTGAATGAAATTCACACACACAAAAAGTTTTTCTCCCCATATAAAAGAAATACCACATTAGCTATTTGATAGACATAATGCCTACAATGAAAGAACTAATTTTCATTCTTATATATTCTATAAAATACTGTATACTAAATCCTTGTTTTCGAATGATTTTGCAAGATTTTGCGACTCCTACAAATGGCTTGTGCTGCAATATGAGGTGGAGCTCAAATGCAATTAAGCGCTTATCAAAAACATAGCCACAACTTCCACCTTGCTCTACATTTTTCAATGGTAACTTAAAACTTTCCTAAGACTTGACAAATTATTTGTGCCTTTCTGTGGGGTTTTGAACATTGAATTTAGTTAATGAAGTTTTTTAGCTTGTTAAATTTTTGCTGATATTTTGGAATGATTTGGAAGCATATGGATAGAGGGGGTGGAAAGAACCATAGTTCTATCAAAATGTTCTAGCTTGTTATCTTAGATAAAGTAAAAAGCTATATCATATTTTCCCCTTAGTTTCTGGTGAGAAAGTTTATTAGTTTAAATGCCTTGTCAAATTCCAAAATATTTCTATCTCAATTTTGAAATTTAATGTATAATGAAAAACCTAGACCATTTGACATAGTGAACAGGTAATAGGTTCCAATGCAAAGATTAGGCCATTCTAAAAGAGGATATCATTAGGATTTTTTTAAAATTTCGTTTTAAATTAGCAAAGCCATTTCACATATTCAGTTGCTTTCTAATGAGAATGAACATTTGCATGGAAAAATTAAGAAACATTCATGATTTGATGTACACAGTATAAACATGAGAAGCATCATGCCCATTAATAGATACAGATTAATCTTTCACTTCTCTGCTCTGAACATACAAAACCATCTTTAACTAGATATAGCTATATAACATGACATATTTATATGAGTTGTCTACATTCTTACTAAAATTAAAATTAGAGCATCAATCTTGTCCTTTACCCATTGCTATTTCAAAAAATTAAAAAAAAAAACTAGCTAGATTCTTTTTTATTTCAAAGTGTCCTCTTTATCTTTGTGAGCTAGCTAGATACCTACTACTAGACATTAGTAATTCCTTTCTTTCCAAGTTATTTTTAGGGTGCTTTAGCTTTGTTAAGATGTCCACCAAATGCTAAGACATTAAATATTGAGTTTCCTCTTCTATGTCTATACCATAGATAGGAGATTTCTTGCTTCAAACCTCAGTGCACACATGTAAACACAATTGCTGAAAACAAGGCAACAAGTGAGAAGCAGGGTTAAAATAAGAACTCAGACAATCTGACTCACAATCCAGCATTCAACCCCCTAGAACTTGCTGTTTTTCTTTGTCCTCTTTGCTGTGAACCAAGACACTTGTTCTTTAGCAGGGTGTTTCTGCTGCAAATCCAGTTGCTACTGCATTATGCAATGAAGTCAGAAGCCTGAGCTTGTGACATCAATGTAGGTTGCTATGGTAACTCTTTCCATAAGTATTACAGGTTCATTGTAGGCTCAAAAAAGAGGACTTCAGCAGAGTGGCAATATAGCTGGCATTATTCAGACCAAATTACAACAATAAGTGGTGCAAAAAAGTGGTTTTACTAGTTATAATAAAGACAGATTTTTGTATTTATGTTTTATGTCAATACTGAAAGTCATTTTAAAAATATATTTCTTTTTTTCAAAAAGGAAAATTTTCCAATAGAAATAGCATTGCCCCTGACCTTCTGATATAACAGTTCCACATGACCCAGGCATGAGAGAGTCTTCCTCTAAAACAGCTAATCATTCCACGCACGTGTCACTCCGGAGGTCAAGTGGTGCTCTGCATTATCTGCTGTGAGTAAACTCGTAATAGCATGATTTCAGTTCAGTTTTCCCACAGGAATTATAAAAAGGCCTCACAGAGTTGCACATACGAAAGTGCTTTTAGATGACATTTTCCCAATGAAAGTGTCTACTTTTAACAAAGCGATAGTAAATATCACCATTTTGTTGCATATATTATCCTTATCTCCCTAGGATATTTTTGCCAATGCCTCAGTTTAAATGGTTAAATCCACCTCCATGTGTAGGAGATATTTAGAAAGATTCTTTCTCCATCATGTATTTTTAACCCGAATTTGAAGCACATGGCTGAATAATTACAAAGCCTGAATTCCTTTCTTCAATGGCCTCTCTCTTTTTTATCATCTACCGTGGTCAATATGAGGATCTTAGTTTGGTGCTGCAATCATGCTTGGGCTAGGCATTGGGGTTACAATTAGATATAAGATACATAAGATAGTCTCTTCCATGAAGAACTCACACAGGTACAATAGCAAATAGTATGTACTGAGTACCCGCCATGTGCCAGACACCATGCTAAGCACTTTCCATCCATTATCTCATTTAATTCTCACAATAGAGTGAGGGAGAGAATTATTATGCCTATTTTACAGATCAGAGAACTGAACCTCAGAGGGATAAAGTCACTTGCCTGTCGTCACACAGGTAGTTAGGAACACAGCTGGCATTTGAAGTTTGGTTTCTACCACATATCCAGTCTGATGAACAAATAGAATGACCTGCATTTGGTACTTCAGTATCACCTATGGTTATAATATCCACATTCTTACATTTTCTTTAATTTTTTAAAGTTATTTCATTTATTTATTTATTTATTTATTTTTGAGGAAGATCAGCCCTGAGCTAACATCTGCTGCTAATCCTCCTTCCTTTGCTGAGGGAGAGTGGCCCTGAGCTAACATCGGTGCCCATCTTCCTCTTCTTTATATGTGGGACTCCTCCCACAGCACGGTTTGCCAAGCAGTGCGTATGTCCACACCCAGGATCCGAACCAGCGATCTCCAGGCGGCGGAAGCGGAACTTAACCACTGCACCACCGGTCCAGCCCTTCTTTAATTTTTATATGTAAAATATCTGTCGTTTCTCATGGACATCTTTACGTGTTCCACGAGCTTTTTTATTTCTTATTTTTTTCTAGCTTTATTGACTCCAAATATTTACGACATTTTAACAGAAATTAAGGATAATTTCTTGTTAGTTACTGTGGTAAAAATTGAAAATTGCATCCTGATCTGAGCAAGGATCCCTGGACATAGAATTCACTGAAACAGAAGGCAGATGATAGTCTCCAGGTTGCCTCATAAACACTTTTGATGACTGACTCTTCTGTTTTTGTAACACTCAGCAGTTCAGAAAGTGTTTGCCTGAAGACATTTTTATTCCCTTAGGTTGTAAATAAAAATAGCTCTCAAAAATAATGGTTCTATAACTTTTCTCAGACAGTTGCATTGATATTCTAATATGCTCCAAGCTACTATACTATCTTCAGCTCAGATAAATATATCAATAATTTAATGTGTGTAGGGTGTTGCAGTTTATACATCACACTAAAGATTCATCCATTCAGCATATATTTATTGAGCCACTATTAAGACTCAGGCACTGTGCTAAATGTTGGATATGAAATTACAGCAAAAAATGGAACTGGTCCCCCAAATTAAAGGAGCATATAGTCTATAATGGGAGAAAGTCATTAATCAAATAACAGCATAAATAAATGTAAAATTAAAACAATGTCCAGAGAGTAGAAAATAAGAAAGGCTGAAAATAGATCATCTAAGCATGCAATCCTAAATGATATAAAAAGAACAGAAAAAACACACAGAAGCAGAAGGAAGAAAAGAGTAAAAGGAAAAGCAAAACCCTGGGAAATGTGATGCAACTTATAGCGCGAATATCAACAAAGCCAAACTGGTTCTTTGAAAAGATAAATAAAATTGACAAACCTCTGGCAAGATTGACCAAGAAAACAGAAGCAAGGCAAAAGTAAACATTTGAAATGAACACAAAGGGAACACAATTAGAGCTACAAGAGGGATTTACAAGGAAATCAGATATAATGAACTTTATGTCAATACATTTGGAAGCATAGATAAAAGGGACAAATAAAATCAATCAACAAGAAACAGAAACTTGGAGAGACTCAGAAGTACCAAAGAAACTGAATTAGAAATAGAAAATCTTCCCAGATAGCAAGCATGAGGCCTTGATGGTGTTACAGGTAAATCTACCAAAATTCAAGGATGGATAATTCCAATCTTACAAACTCTTCTAATTGAAAAAAAGAGAGAACTATCCAAATAAATTATATTAGGAGTCTAGTATAATTTGATTAAAACAAAAAAAAACTAAAGAGCAATATGAGAAAAGGAAAATACAGAATATCTCTATATTAATGAATATTAATATAAAAGTCTTAAATAATGCATAAAATCCAGCAATGTAATAAAATGCTGTGTCCCTCCTCTTCTTCCAAGTTCAATGATTAGTCAGTATTTTTGAGTCCATCATTCTCTACTTCATACTTTAAACAAACCGTGGTGTTCTTCTGGACACACCTTCCATTTCACACCTCCATGCCTTTCCTGATAATGCTCTGACTACCCAGGCCCCCATTCCTCATTTCTTTAACCAGATAACTCTTATCTTTTAAAAATCACCTCGTCCCTCTCTCCTTCTGGCCAGATGTTCTTAGGATTTACCATATACTAAAAAGTATCTTACTGGGTGTCTTTCCCTCAAAGAACCCTATGGTCACGGATGATGACTTTTTTCGTCTTTTAACCCTCAGCTATTAATGATATGTCCTGGCATACAGTAAGTGCTTGGAATGGAGCAAAATCTTCTAAATCAACTTCATTCGTGAAGTTTGGTTCCTACCACATAGCCAGTCTGGTGAACAATAGAATGACCTTTGTTCAATTCTTCTATATCGCTTAGAGTTGTAACATCCACATTCTTACATTTTCTTTAATTTTTATATGTAACATATCTGTCATTTCTTGTGGGCATATTTATGTGTTCCATCAGCTTTCTTTTTTATTTTTTAATTTTTTTCCAGCTTTACTGAGACATAACATTGTGTAAGTTTAAGCTGTACAAAGTGATGACTTGATACATGTATATTGTGAAATGATTATCGCAACAAGGTGAGTTAACACATCCATCACCTCACATACTTAGCTTTTTTTAATAGTGAGAACATCAAAGAACTACTCTGTTACAACACTCTGGTATATATACACAATATAGTATTGTTAACTATAGTCATGCTGTACATTGGATCTGCACAACTTATTCGTCTTATAACTAAAAGTTTGAACTCTTTGGCCAACATCTTCCCATCTCCTGATAACCACCAATCTACTCTCTGTATCTCTGAGTTAGGGTTTTTCAGATTCCATATGTAAGTGAGATTTCACAAGTATACGTCTTTCTCTTCTGACTTATTCCACTTATCATAATGCCCTCAAATATCATCCATGTTGTCTCAATGGCAGACTTTCCTTCTTTTTATGCCTGAATAATATTCCACTGCATATTTGTACAACACATGTTCTTTATCCATTAATCCATCAATAGACGCTTAGGCTGCTTCCACATCTTGGCTATTGTGGATAATGCTGCAGTAAAGATAGGGGTGCAGACACGTTTTCACGATAGTGATTTCATTTCCTTAATATACCTGGAGGTAAAATTGCTGAATCATAAAGTAGTTCTATTTTTAATGTTTTGAGAACCCTCTACACCATTTGCCGTTGTGGCTGCATCAATTTACATTCCCACCAGCATCGGTGTTCCCTTTTCTCCAAGTCCTCACCAACACTTGTGTTTTCTTGTCTGTTTGATAACAGCCATTCTAACAAGTGTGAGGTGCTAGCTCATTGTGGTTTTGATTTGCATTTCCCTGATGCTTAGTGATGTTGAGCATCTTTTCATGTACCTGTTGGCCATTGATGTGTCTTCTTTGGAACAACGTCTATTCAGATCCTGTGCCCATTTTCTAATTCGATTGTTTTATTGCTATAGAGTTGTATGAGTTCTTTACATATTTTGGATATTAATCCCTTATCAAATATATGATTTGAAAATATTTTCTTCCATTCAGTAGATTGCCTTTTCACTTTGTTGATGATTTCCTTGGCTGTGCAAAAGCTTTTTATTTTTGTTTTTGTTGCCTTTGCTTTTGCTGTCAGACTCCAAAATTCATTGCCAAGATCAATGTCAATATGTTTACTGCCTATGTTTTCTTCTAGAAGTTTTACGGTTTCAAGTCTGATATTTGAATCTTTAATCCATTTTGAGTGGATTTTTGTGTAAGTAGGGGTCCGGTTTCACTGTTTTGCATGTGGCTGTCCAGTTTTCCCAACAATGTTTATTGAAGAGACTGTCCTTTCCTCATTGTATATCCTTGACTCTTTCGTCAAAAATTAACTGACCATATAAGCATGGGTTTGTTTCTTGGCTCTCTATTCTGTTCCATTGATCTATATATGCATGGGTTTATTTCTGGGCTCTCTATTCTGTTCCATCAATCTATGTGTCTGTTATTAGGTCAATACAAT